TAGTCCCCGTCCACACGGGAGACTATCTCTGTATCTTCCCGGAGCAGCGTTTCTGTCAGTCAGCCGTGCTGGGAGGTGGCTTTGGTGGTGGGATGTGTGTGTCCCCACAGTGGGGAGGTGTTTCTCGGCCTGCTCCATGAATGCGCAGAACAGCACATGGGTAAAGCTGCTGGGCTCTTCCCCTCTCAAAAGCAGCTCTCTTCTGAGAGATACAGATAAGGCTGGGACTCCTGTTTCTGAGAGGTCAGACACTCCTGCTGAGGGTACTGGGAGATGGTAGTGCTATTAGGCTCATGGTAAATGAAAACATGCTGTATAGTTTGAGAGGGGGGAGGAAACAATGCTCATGTTTTACCGGAGTTGACTAGTGTGATCTGAAGGAAGATGAAAGGCTCACAGCAGTGCCTGCAAGTCATACCAGGCCCACTAGGGGGCGAGTGGGGCGTGCTGTACACACTTGAGGCCCCAGGGTGAAGGGAAGGAGCCTTTACAATGGCCCAGGGAGGTAGACCTTGGACTAACAGGAACTAATGCAATCACATGACAAATAGAGAGGAACTCAACATGCAGAACAGTTCGATAATTTGCCACAGCACTGGCTGTGCAATTTCGAAGCAAATCAGACACTGTCAGCCATCTCATCTGCAAAATGCAAGTGAGCTCTCTTCTCCAGAGTGGACGTGAGAGGTAGAGATGAGTGTCTGGTGACGTGACTGACAAAAGTCATCCTCGCCCTCCCCACTTCACCTGGATCCTTCCCCGTGACCTGGTGATTAGGTCCCTGCCATCTCATAAACCCCCTCACCCAAACATCCCCTCCAGTGACACCCTCTCCCCAACCACTGTCCCCTCACAGACCACTTCCTCAAAGAACTTTCCCCATGTTGCGTGCTCACTCCTCCCTGGTATTCACACATCGGCCCGCTGCAATCTGTCTCCCAGTGAATTTACTCCAAGGATGTCACCAAGAGCATACACGTGACTGTTCCATCCTTGGAGCTCTCTCCCCCTGGTCCATGGGGTGTCCTGTAGTGGGATCATTTCTATTCTGCCCCTTCACCCTGCTCCCTGGCCCACACTTAAGTCATACAGTTAGACAAATCCCAAGTCTCAGCATTTCTTAGATGCAGCATGAAATCACCCAGGAAGGGGGCAGGACTGGGAGCAGACAGGTGAGGGAGGAGACCTCACGAGAGTAAGACTAAGGACACCAGACAGACAATCCTACCCAAAGAAGGATGGACAAAGCCAACTGCCTTTACCTTACAGAGGAAGTTCTCCAGTGTCAGCACAGTGATCA